TTTCTCTCTCTGGACCTTTCGCTTTCTTGCTCTCTCTGTCGTTACATATATGTTATGTATTTCCTCCACCATATTCCTCATCTCTCATAGTCTCAGTCTGCCTCTCCTTGGCTGCAGGGTTTGTGGCGATCCTGCTGTTTAAAGAGTGGGAATTTCATTGGGCTATTAGCAACACTAAGTCTTCTAATCACCCCTGCGACAGCTACTGATTCACTCCCACTTATGGGGCCCAGCCTGTCTGATATATTTGGACCTCTGATCATTATTGTATGTTATGATATGCCAATGACTGTGAGAGACATTTTCATAACTCAGTTTCCCCTCAAGTTTAAAACAAGAAACCAAGAGTTACTCGTGATATATTGCATCAGATATAAAAACTTGAGTTATGGATAAACTATATTCAATCACTTTCTTGTTCATCAATAATGTTTCTGAACATTTATCATGTAACCAATATGGCTTTGTGTGCTCTTTTGTGACAGATCATAAATTTTTTCAAACTCCTATTCATACTGTAACAAAAAGCCAAAGCAAATATAAATATAGTATCACAAAATATTCCAGTAATAATTAAGTAATTGTAAATGTGGCACAGCTGGATTTAATTGACAGTGTCTGACTTCCTTAAACCTGAAAGTAAGCATTCAAGATCAAAATGAACTAAAATAAGGTACAGTTAAAGTAGATACTGAAGCTATTGCTGAACAAATCCAACTTTTGTGCTGTTACACAATAAGAACTAAAACACTTAAATATCATATTTGTGTCAAACGTCTGGCTGATGAACTGCCTACAGGTTCATCAGAAACATCTGTGACTGAGTGAATCCTTACCTCCTGCCCTCAGAAAATCAATAATATCCAAAAGGTCTGGTGGGTCTGGTCAGAAAAAATATCAGTTCCAATCAAAAGAAAACCAAAACAATATCCCGAGAGAAAGTGTGTAGAGTAGTCAGGGAGAGAAAAGGAGCATGACACAGAGAAACGACGAGGCTCTCCAGTTAGGCACTGCGGAGCTCGCCATGAGGCCACTGTATACATTCCTGCAGCTAAGAATAGTATCCTGGGCCACTGTGACTTCAGCCAGGCCTCTCATGTGACACAGAGCTGTTTGGTACCCAGTTGCCGGCTTAACAGCTCTGCCAGGGTCCAGTGGAGAGAGTGTTTACAATAGCCAGAGGAGGGAGAATCATCACAGGGTCCTGACTCAGCCATCGAGCCCACCCAGGCTGGTGTTTAATCAAAGTGTCCCCGAGCTGCTAACCCTTGTCCACCTTCCTGTGTCGTTTAAGCCCTCCTCTACCTCCTCCCTCTGTGTGTAACCCAGGATGAAGGTAAATATAGACCAGTGCTGATGGGCAAACTTGATCAGGAGAAACAGCTGTAAGAACTTGACTCAAGTCTGCCTCAAGATGTGCTGGTGTTTCTGTGTGTCGTCTGTGAGTATGTACAACTGGAGATGTTACTACTACTACTGACTGGTCTCAGTTACCTTGTAGCGATGTGTGTCTCATGTTGCCATAGCATCCAATACCCTCAATCTTGGATGTATTGGAGATATACGTACTGTGGTCTCAGTGGCACATTTGTCCTAATAAAATCTAGTTTCTGACTGTCTATGAGTCCATACTTTAAGGTTCATGATATTTTTTACTACAGTATACAACATTCAAAAATATTACCCAATTAAAATGGAGTAATATTGTGGAGAACTCATTGGATTATAGAGTAACGGGGGTCCCAAGCTAAATGTGGTTTCTGCTGCTGTGTTTCAGCAGTTGAACATGTTTAATGTGAACTAGCAGCTGGAGGAAATGTTCAGTTACATTATGATTAGTAATGCAACTTAATATAACTCTGATAAGGTGTTAAAGGACCAGTATGATTTAAAAGCATCGAGCAGTGAAGGTATCGATTGCAACTAACTGAACACTGCTTATGTCTACATTTGAAAAACAGGAAAAGGCCCTATAGCCAGTGTTTGGTTTGTTCCTTCTGGGCCACTGTAGAAACATGGCGGACTCCATGGAAGGTGACCCACGGCATCTATCAATAAAACGGCTCATTCTAAGATAATGAAAACACAACAATTCCTATATTCAGGTGATGATTATTATACACTAATGAAAATACGCCAATCATATTCCATTTCTACTAATAGATCCTCCTTACACACTGGACCTTTAAGAGAGTGAGTGAGCTTATATCAATAAGATAAAATTACAATTACATTATTTTTTTTCTGTGAATCCGTTGTACGTATTTGAATCCAGGTTGTCAATGGCGGACTCCACCACTAACAATGAAAACTACCCTATTAAGAGTCGTTACAGAATGTGAATGTAAAAAATATTTATACCTGTTTCAGTTTATGTTTTTTCCTCATTACACAACATGCCTTCTTTTTTTCATGTTTTTAGGATTTAATAATAGCCTTGATGATATGATGGAGATGTTTAACAGTGTTATCCTGACAAAATTATGTTTTTCTTTTATGACTTATTTTTCTAATTAATCAATTCAGGTCTCTATAAAGCCTTCAGAGAAGGAAACTGCTCACGTGTCCACATCGAAACCAAAGCCTTTGACAAGAGGTGACAAGCAGACATTGCTTTACTTTAAGGGGTCACAAACCAACAAAAACTTCAAAACAGAAGAACAAGCAGTAGATTCTCAAACCTTACTGAGATATAAAAATGAATCTGAACAGAATCTCTTGATTCTCTGATGGGCAAGATTAAAAGAGAAATTGTTTCCACTCATACTTTCTGGAGACAGATATAGTTCTTGGGTATTTGTGCCTCCTTTTCCTCTCAGCTGATATCTCTAAGTTGTCATTCCTGTATCTCACGAGGGGGCCTTATCTCGCACTTCTACTCCTTGCAGCGCCGGAGGTAGTGAGATGAATTATTGTCATGTTTGTTTAGTAGCACATGACAAGGAACTGGAGTTACATCTGGACAGATTGAATGACATAGCTGCAAGAAAGTGAGCTGTCAGCAAGTCAGACATCATGACATGTGAGCAGACGCAGCTTTGGTGGACTTTGTCACACAGTGAAATCCTACACTCTGTTACCAGTTACCAAGTGACAGCTTCATGCTCACAGGTCATGGTGTGTACGAAAGACTCCTACAGGGGCGAAGCTGAAAATCGGACATAAACCAGTTTGTTAAAGAAATGCAGGCTGAGGTAAAATATGAAGATTAGAATATCTCACTTTCACTTCATCTGGCTCAAAACCTTCTTGATCCAGTGATATTTCTAATATAATAAGATAAAATTGGATTTACTGGAAGCTGTTTAAAAAGCCAAATGAAAAGGGAATTTCTGTTTCAATGAAATTTAATAATGTGTAACAATAAGTACTCAAATTCTGCCGAAACATTTCTTTATTGCAAACATGAGGCTTTATTCTGGTAGGAATGTATGATAAATATGGTTCAGTTAAGAGCATGACGGGGCAACATCAGGTTGACAACCCCACCGTGTTTTGAAGTAACACTGCAGAATTTTTTTATGTGAGAGCTCCTCAGCCTTGGGACCAGTACAACAAGGGGGGGGGTCAAAGAATATGTAAACAGGATTTGATGCTTTTCTTGATGCTTTTATGTTTTGAATTATGTTTTGTCAGTGAATAAATCAAAATTAACTTGAAACCTGACCTTGACAATTTGAATAATAATTTCCATATTAGCAATTTCTATATAAAATAAAAAATTCCTCCATGCTCTTGAAAAGAGAGCACCTGCTTTGTTGACTTTTTTTGGCCCTGAATTTTTCCTGTTAAAATCTAAGTTTTAGGAACTTAATCATTTCAGTTTTGTGCTTATACGGTAAGTTGCACAATCTTAAATTTATGTTTAATCCAATTAATGATAACACAGTAAAATGGGCCAGGGTAATGTTATTTCACAACATACAAACTGTACACATTACATAGTGAGGGAGAAATAAAGTCTTTTATACTTTAATTTTTGTCAATAAATCCCATTAAAAGACGAAAACCAAGTGATCCTATATTGTTTGTGTATCCAACGCAATATATCTTATTCCTCTGAGAACTCCCTTGTTATCCTGAAACTATTAAATGCTCATCACTGATGTACACTGTTGCACTGGGAGACATGAACATACTAGAGTTTATTTGGAGTCAATCACACATACGCTGTCCTGCTGTAAATACTCATAGAGCACCAAAAGGTGCAATAATTCATGGGTGAAAAAAACCCAACAAATACACTTTTGTTTGGGTAATGTTTTACTAAAAACTACAATGATCTGCAGTTTTTTGGATATTCCATAGTTTAAAAAATATATAAAGAAGCCTAAGTATTAATGGCCTGTTTTCAGGAATTATTAGGATCAGTGCCTTAACCTCAAACATATTTAAGACAGGGAGTAGAATAAAAAGTTCCCTAAAATTATCAGGAAAACTTTTTATGAAATTCTGCTCAAAAATGAATGCAAATCACTTGTTTTACACACATTTCCTGCAGTTATCATGTTCACTATTTGTTTTTATTGTATAGTTTATTAGTTGTTTATTAGTTTGTTATTATTATGCATTGCATATATTATGTAATATCCATACAATATGTCACTCTAGTCAGGGGCCATCAGTTTACTCAATTATAGAAAAGGAGTTCCCTTAAGGAGAAAGGTTGGGAGCCACTGGACTAACACACTGTAGTTTTCTCATTAGATTTGTTAATAAGAAACATATAGACTAAAACCTGATTAAAACCTATCCTTTGATAGGGGCCCCGCAGCTAACGTTGGCCCCCAAGGGCCTCCCGCAGGTCAATCCTTCCATGAATCTCAACACATCTTTCTCAGTAGGGCTGGGCATGCCTGTGTTTGTCTCGATAACAAACACAATGTTTTAAGGTTAAACACCATTGACCATGACACCCAGATCAGCCTCTTATAATCCCACCGTTTCCCATTTGTCTCCCAGCTCTCGAGCTCCATTCACAGCGACGGTCACGCCTCGACAGGAAGTGACGAATGTGGCCACGAGCGTGACGAACGGCTCGTTCGAAAATACAACAAGGAAGTGGCCGTTAATTGTAAAAGGAAAATAACCACCGGACAAAAACATCTCTTCAAACCGGGGGGTCGGCCTCGCTCGGTTGTTGGGTGTCGGGGGGGTAAAGTCACCGTGGACTTGCCCGAGAGCCCGTTTCTGATCATCTCGAGGGATTCTGCTTTTAGCCAGCTAGCTAGCTAGCGATGAACACGGACGTGGAATTTCACATCAGGCAGAATTACCCGTGGAACAAACTCCCAGCTAATGTCAAACAGGTACTGTGTCTTAACGTTTCCACAGGGGCAGGGTGAGAGGGGAGTACCGCTGTGTCCTGTGTGTGTGTGTGTGTGTGTGTGTGCGGTGGGGTGAACCTGTCAATGTCACCGCGGTGCACTCTGTCATACAGGCAGCTGTCAGGGTCGCACGACTCGCTGTAACCTCCTCTGCTAAAGGTTTCAGCATTCAGCCGGAGCCATAGCGGACCGTCGGTACATTACAGCCATTGCGAGCTACGCCGCCTCTGCTTGACTCCACTGGCGTCACATGACTGATGGTTTGATAGGTGGCACCACATGATGCTAGCGCGTGCATGTGCCCTGCAAGTATTGCAGTCACATCTTTTGGTGCACAGTGTGTAAAATACATGCAGTGTCGGGAAAGAACAACATCTGAGGGGGGGGAGATGTATTTTTTTTGTACTATTAATAGTCTGCGTGAATCCCTCCTCCTGCATACACGTTGTGTCATTACGCCAACATGTCGTGGTGGAGTGGAGGCGGGTGTTTGTACATACAGTAGCTTTGTGCTGATGTGTGTGCTGCCTGCACCCCTGTGCATCCTCACCAAAGACAGAACCAGAACCCCAGACCTGCAGGTGCCTCCAGACCCCTTCCTGTGCCTGTATGTCAACTGGTTTGTGCAAATATAATTAGAAAGTTTTTCTCTCCTGATGCAGACAAGATGTCAGTGTTGTTGTCCCTTAAATTGAAAATCTGTATTACTCACTCTTTGGATGTAAGTTCCAGATAATAGATGTTGCTGTGGCTCTGAAAACTGAGTCGCTGGCCTGCTGCGGCTGAATGAACTGATAACAAAAACAGTTAATTTAATAACACTGACAAATTGAATTTAATGTGCACTGGCCACATCATGGCCGATACCTGATCCCCCTAATGTGGTTGGTATTGTTGCTCGCACTGAATTCAGTTGGTGCATTCTTAGGAAATTAGTTTGTAAGTAGAACAATATCAAGAGCCTTAAGGTGGGACCTGCTTTATTACCTGAACTTAAAGACCTGTGTTGGTGCCTGTACCAAAATCTAGTTTTAAGACCTTCATTGTTTTAGTTTTTGTTGCATATTCCCAAACTGATGTGTTTGATTAAATTCCCACACAGTAAATTTGGGGCAAGGAAATCTTTCATCAAGTATAGAAGTGACATAGACAGTGGGAGGATAGATGGGAGGTAAGAGGGGTAGCTCAGGATAATCTTGCCATGGTCCTCACCTGTGTGCTGTGTCTTTTCCTCTGCAGAGTTTGGGGAACTCTCAGCGTGAGTATGAAAAGCATGTGCTGCTGTACAGCATCCGCAACCAGCTGCGATTCCGCAATAACCTAGGTGAGCTTTTTTGTTCCTCACACCAGTGCTAAACATACACCATGTGAAACACATCAAGATTTGGTGCAAGATTAAAAGACAAAGGCCAAACAAATCCTCTTGAATTTTATAGCTTAACAATAAGAGAATGTGTGTAAGTTTCTGGACTGGCCGAAAGTACCCTCAGTTTCCGGTTTATTGGGTACATTTAGCTAAAAGGAATGCAATCTAATACAACAGCCCTGCAATAAATCCTGCTGCCAGGATGGTTGGGTAAATCTCAATATTTTCACTGCGTTGGCTTTAGCTAGGTGTATCTAAAAAGTGGCAACTTAGTGTAAACTATAACTGCACCAGGGCTGGTCAGCTTGCAGACAAACATATTGTATCACAGGTACATTCCTGGAGTCACAGTAATACTTGATCTGTATGAACGAGTAAGATTGAGTGATATCGACTCTATTCTTAAGCAGGCTTGTCTTCAATGACCAAGAAAGTGGTTGTACTACCAGTTAAGTAATATGTATAATAGTCTCGAAATAGCTCTGTAATAATAAACACTTAATGTAATCAATTTTATTGCTTCCCTTGTGACCTTGTTGAGCTTGTCAGTACTCTCAATTTACCCTGGATTGATGTATACTGGTATAGATTTAGAATCAGTTAGTGTATGAACACTCACCCCTGGCTGTGACCTGACTGCTGTTTGTGTTTTTTTTATTTTTTATGAGCAGTGCGCCACGTGAGGAAGGATGAGCGCAAGTATTATGAGGAGCTCCTGAAGTACAGCCGGGAACACCTGATGCTGTACCCCTACCATCTGTCTGACATCATGGTGAAAGGCCTGCGAGTCACTCCTTTCTCATATTACATAGGAATCATGGAGGTGAGCAACTACTGCTGCATTGCACAACACAATAGGCGAGATGGGTGTCTGATGTTTCCTTTTATCAATAATCTCGGTAAGCAGCTTCTCATACACCTGAATACCTATCTGAAAAGCTCTGGCTGATTCACTAGCGTTTCTTCCCTCTAAGAAAACCCACGACAATAACGTGGTGATTTCATAACTTCATCTGCATCTCAACAATGAGCTGGATAAACTCAAAGGCACAGAGCGGGGAGCCTTATTGTGCTGTGGCAAAGATTCCCTAATTGGTTTGGAAACATCCAGTCGCTCTTAATTTAAATTGAACAATGTCTTCAATTTTAGCATCCCTGGAAACCGGTGCAGAAATGGCAGTTCCCAACTAAACAGGAAATCCAAGAGAACCTTTTATAATAAGAAGGATCCAAGCTTTTCACAACTCCCTGCCATCGTGTGTCATATGCTCTCTGTCACCTGGGTAATTGAAATGCACCATATTATATGGTACATCTAAATAGATTAACTGAAAAGGTATCCAATATTTCTTATATATACGTGCATCATTGGCTAGCATGAGTGAGCCATGCACTTGAACTTACATATCATTTGCATCTAAAAAAAAGAGGGAACATGTTAGAAGAGCATATGGCTCAATGTATTTCCTATGGTGAGAGACTTGGCATCAGTCAGGCACTAGGTGTCAGTCAGTGTCTAGTGAAGCCTCGTGTACCGGCTCAGGGAGACACAGAGGACTGATCCCAGGACAAACACGCCCAGAGAAAATCTTTGCTGTTTGCTCTGCAGTCAGTTTGGGCTTGGTCCGCATGACGGCTCCCTCTCACTGATAAAGCTCAGCGTGTTGTTTGAGGCTGGCACAGCCGGGCTCGCAGAGAACCAGTCACAGTCTGTCGGGAGACTTTGACCAGCCGGGTTCTCCTTGACTTCTGACACTCTCAATTAGATTACAAAGACTGAGCCCATGTGTTCACCTGGCTGGAAGTGCTGCTTTTGAAAAGTTATTCATACTACATAATAATAATATAATGTACAGATAATAATTATGATTTCTTCATGAAAGTGATGCACCTGTAATCTGTTGTGTTGCACTTGAAGCTGATTACTGATATATTCACCGCATTATTTCCCTGCATAACGCCCTCACATGTATTTCCATTACTTCACAGCCCCGTGTGTTTACATAGAGAGAGTGTGTGCAGATGCTAGCTGCCACATTTCATTCTTCCACATTTAGCATACTTCCCATTTCATCAGAAGTAAGACGCCGGTGTTCTCTTTCATGACATAACCTATAAACATGAATAAAGACGAAGCATTTAGTTTTCAGCTCACACGCTTTCCTATGCGTGCTAAACTAAACTGGACTGAGCTTTAATTGTGGCCACTAAATTGCCGAAGGCTATGTCATATTCTGATAATCCTTGTTAAGCACTTAATGAAAATGGGGAGTAGAAATTAGCACGGCCGCACAGATCTGCTAATCCTGTTATTAATCAGAGGCAGGGGGACATAGAAAGAGGGAGAGGAAAAATGAGTTTAATTCTTCTTTTTCTGTGTCCTTTCTTTTTTTTTTTGCACCTCCAGGATATCATGAACAGTGAGAAGAGTTACGACTCCTTGCCCAACTTCACTGCTGCTGACTGTGAGTTTTTTGTTTCTTTTTACCCACTTTTTCCTCCGCTTCTCTCCCACACTGTTCAAATGACATTACTGGGGTTCTGTAGCTCCCACTCCTGCTTTCTCTGCGTCTCTGGTCTGTCTTCGCTACTCTTGTTGTTAACAGGCTGTCAGTGTGTGAGGTGGTAGAACAGTCACAGTGAAAAGATGCAAGTTTTCAGGAAGCTTAGGGATTTAAATGAGGGTCATGAGGTCGCTGGAGGGGCGCTTTACACTTCAAGTTTTTCCACTTGTCAGAATCATCTGTTTTATTCTGTGTTTTATATCATTATAAAATTTATATCTTTGGGTTTTGGACTGTTGGTTGGACAAAACAAGCAATTTAAAGACGTCTCCTTCAGCTATTTTCCCTATCAATTGTGAAGATAATTGGCAGATTAATGTACTTAATGTAATGTTTTTTTCTGTTTTCTAACACAAATGACTATTTACTGCTTTGGTTCAATGTATGACATAAATCCAAAGTTTTCTAAATGTCATTTTAGGAAGTGGGGCTATTTTTTTGTGTTGACAAAGATGAAGATTGGCACCTGGATGCCAGCCTGTTGTGTAGCATATGTCTGTAACAGTGATTTTGATTTGCTTCTGTGTTGCAACACTGGAGGTATCATTTTTCTCAGAAAGCCCAATACTACTACTACCACTGCTACTACTAATCCCTCACTGGTTTTGATGGTTTATGAGAGAAATGGTTTTCCAAACTCACTGACAGGCATTACTAATAAGCATGAAATATTTCTTTGTATTTCTATATAATAATAGTAATTGCCAACTGGTTTTTGGATCGGCTTATATAAATCCCATTTCATGGTGAGTCAAAATTGCTTTAAAAAAAACAAAACGATACAAAACATTGCTTTTCCGATATGTTACTGAATCACTGAGGAGCTGTATTCCACAGAAATTATTGCAAAATCAGATTAAGATTGCATCAAAACTGAAAGTCAAGTGTACAGGCAGCTGTAGCATTCTTTGACTTTGCGCTGTCGAGTGAACTGGGCTTTGGCCTTGGCCTGTGAGTGACTGAGTCCTGGCAGTACAGGACCTTCATGCTGTGGAGGCAGAAGGCTGCCGGCAGGCTGCCGTGCTCGCAGGGGCCTCTCTCCTCTAATCTCCCTGGAGGAGCTTTGGAAGTGTGTCATGCAGAAGTGGGTGGATGGAGAGGCAGTGAGAGAGAGTTTTTACGTGGGCGGATATTTGTGTGTTGTGTCTGTGTCTAGGTGAAACGGCATGATAGGCGTGTAGGATTCTGCTGCGTTAGGAGGCAGAGATGATAACATCCCTCACTAGTCCTTGTGTTCATTGGCAGCGGTCCCAGCACATTTTGCTCTGTCCCCTTACAGGCCTGTACATCATGGGCTAGAGGAGGTGACAAGGTGGCATTCGGAGCCCCAAATCTTATACCTTTCTACTATTAAGTCCATAAAAATGTTGCTATATGGCCCATTTTCATTTCAGAATATATGTGTTTATTTGAATGCTCACTCTTTTTAGAATATCCTGTTTGTATATTAGTGGATGGATTAGTAGTGGTTTCGCGTGCGTGTGTGCGTGTGTGCGTGTGTGCGTGTGTGTGTGTGTGTGTGTGTGTGTGTGTGTGTGTGTGTGTGTGTGTGTGTGTGTGTGTAAGGGGATTGTCTCAGTGGGGGTGTGTAAGTATTTGTGTGGACATACTCCCTCAGCAGAGTTTGGATGAGTCACTTGTGAAGCTCCTTCTTTCTCCGGAGTAAAATGTTTACTTTACTTTGCTTCTTGCTGTAATTGTCTCTCCTTTTGTTCTTGTAAAGCCTCAGAGGCTGTAATTGAAAAATGCCAGAGACACTTTTGCAGCTGCAATACTTCCAGATTTATTTGCCATAATATTAATGTTCAGCGATTACAAGTTCATGGCCACTTACTGAGGAATGATTAACTAATACACATCAAAATTACTAACTTATTTCTCATCCAACAGGTCTGCGGCTGCTTGGTATCGGGAGAAACCAGTACATTGACCTGATGAACCAATGCAGGTCTTCCAAAGTAAGACATGTTTATAATAAAGCTGGTTTAAATGGTCTTTTATAGAACTTATAGATTTGTTCATGTTAGCACATTTAGTGGCAATACTGAATATTTAATATTTATCCAACTGCATCTCCCCCTGCTTGACTGGCCACCAACAAACTGCATAGCAATACTCAATATGCAGACACATGAATCAACTGTAATAGCCATAAAAGAACCCTGCAAGCTAAAACAAAAAATATTGCATATATTTGAAATGTATTTTTACACCATTGTCTTCAAAATGTTTTTGAGCACTTAACAGCCATCTATATCAGGCTTTAGTGACCATTTCACCTCACCTGCATCCCCGTCTGTTTCCCCCTTCTCAGAAATTCTTCCGCAGGAAGTCAGCGCGGGACCTGCTACCAGCCAAACCAGTGGAAATCTCTGTGGAGCCGTGGTGGGTGGCGCAGACAGGCTACATCACTGAGGATGACATCAGGGTGAGCTTTGCTTCTTCTTTTCCACTTTGGTGCGAGGAGAGAGGACAATGAGACATTCTTGTGTTGATGTACCGTATTTGATTTCTTTAATCTTTCATTTTATGGACATTATATGTGTCATTGATCTACAAGATAAGTGAGAGAATGACACCAAACTGTGGGATTTTTTTAACTTGAGCTTTCATTGAAATTCATACACATTACCCACCAAGCTACAATTGTTCATCCCATGAGCCCCTTCACTGCATGTGGAGAACTCACCTGACTAAAAATAAATACCTGCCAAGTTCCCAACAGGTCCCCATCCAAAAAAAGAAAAAAAAGAAACACTGGAAAACAGTCTAGGAATCCACATTGTTATAATATGCAAATGTATTCATCCTGCCAGAGACTGCACTACCACTGTTTTGACATCCATGGGAAAAAAACCCACATGTACAGTTATGCTTTAATGTTGTGTGTCTGTTGTGTATAATTACAGATCTGTTCTCCAGCAGAGAAGAAAGCCATTGATAAGATGATAGATTCTGGTCCTCAGCTGGCTGGATCAATGGAGTACAATGTGGTGTTAAGTGAGTATCTGCCACATGTTATGTTCTCATTTAAAACAACTGTAACTACATACATGTTAAAGAGTTCGGTCTAGACCTGCTCTATTTGAAAAGTGTCCTGAGATAACTTCTGTTATGAATTGGCGCTATACAAATAAAATTGAATTGAATTGAATTGAATTGAATTGAATTGAATCAAAGATTTAACAAATTATAATGTATTGTGTAATATTGTATACACCTTTTTTTCTAATTCTAGTCCTAATAAAAAAAACATTTACTATTGTAATACTGTGCCTATTGGGAAAGAACAGCCAAAATACATTTTTTATTTATTTACCTCTAGGAAATCTGTCCTCATCACGTATGTTAATTGAGGTGGACTGAAACACCAGTCCTAAATAAAATACCTTTAACGTCACACATGGGATTATGTGGATTTCCTCAGTCTTCCTTTTTCCCAAAGTGATCTCCTTTTGCATTTATGATCCTTGTGCAACAGCATCTTGAAATAGACTATTATTCAATATATTTGCTCTTATAATATTATTATTATTTAAAGTCTGCTGGTTTTATTGGTTTGACTTCTTGAACTAACACCTAAAGCTTTGCTTATAGGAATATAATAGTATATAATATGTGATTTTTATAGAAAATACAAGAAACGTGGAGGTTGATACTAATTGCAGTTTAAGGGCTCTTATCAGCGTCCTGGTGTGAATTTCAGAGATGAAGCACAGGGACTGAGGTTGTGTCCACGCAGTTTAAATGTTAATTAGAGAACAGTTCGACGGTGATGAACCTCTGCCTCTAGAGTGCTGGTGACTGAGTGGGAACAAATACAATTAAATACAGCAGACGCGGGACAATTGAATACAAGTAGCTGCTTAAATGAGGTTTGATTGGCTTGAATTTTTCCACCACTCTCATACATACATACGTACAATTTTCTGTTCTTCACAGAAGAAGTTCAATAACTAGGGAGTTTGTATTGTAAGATTTGTTTTTCTAAACGTGGTAGCAACAATGCTAAGTATTATTATTATGTTTTTGTGCACCAGGCTTGTACAACCGGGGATTCATCTACTTGGATGTTCCCATATCTGATGACAGCTGCATCGCAGGTACATCAGTGTGTCTGTGTGTCTGTGTGTGTGTGTGTGTGTGTGTGTGTGTGTTTAAACATCCTATTATTATCCTCCCCTGAGTGATTAAACACTGTATGTACCTAAAGTACAGCTGTGGGAACATAAACGAGCATTATGGGTAATGGACTCGCACTGATCAGAAACAAATGCCTAATAGTGTCATTACAGATATATGCAGTATTTAAAAAGAGGGCAGCGAAACAATATATTAAAAAAAACTATGTAAAAAAAATCATTTGTTCCTCTCCCTCTGTGCCTTTCAGTGCCCCCGCTGGAAGGCTTTGTCATGAACCGCGTCCAGGGCGATTACTTTGAAACACTTCTCTACAAAATCTTTGTGTCCATTGATGAGCAGACGAATGTTGCAGAGGTAGGCTTTAGAAATGTGTTTTATTGTGCTCGCCTGCTGTGCTCATTGAATGTAATATGACTGTGTGTGTGTGTATGTGCGTGTGTGTGTATTGATCAACTTCTCAACCGAGTCCTATTTCCCCCCCCCCCTCTCTCTCTCCTGATCCTTCCTCCCCATGTGCCTCTCAGCTGGCGAACGTGTTGGAGATTGACTTGGACTTAGTGAAGGTGGGTATCCACTTGCTGCAGAATGTGAGAGTCCAATTGTAATGTATAAACTAAAGAACTGTTTTTCACAAGAGGAAGGGAAAAAAATGGTAGATCTAGAGAATGTGGCCCTGCTCTCAAAATTGACACTGACAAAACGGGGAGGTAATTTTCTCTGGCTCCACTGTGATTTTGAAGACATTCTGAGACATGCTTGTTGTCTCTCTGTATGCTTTCAGAACCGCAGTGTAACTGTGTAAAGAAATAACAACCTGTTGTGTTTTTTGCTAATTTATGATTTTGAGTCAAATATTAAGATTTAAGTTTGGTATCAAATCGGAGAGATTAAAACCATTTTTCAGTAATATTTGCTCCCGGCTCCTTTGAGTTGGCCTTCCAAAGGTATGCTGTTATTAAATTTGGGTTCTGGTTTGTTGTTGCAAAACTTATATTATCTCATTTTATTACAGTAGTTCATTGGCATTGCTGTCTGGTATGCAAATCAGTGAGAGAGGCAAGGATATTATGTAGCTTAGAATGTAGATATTTCTGCACAATTTGGCTGTTTCATTCTGCATTTATATTCACGTAGACGTACACCTGAGAGGTAGACTGTGAAACACACACACACAAAAGACTACCAGAGGGCTGAGCAGTGCCATTCCAGTTGAATTGGTGCTCGAGTTTGACCCAGTTTCCCCGAGTTTCCTATTCACTCGCTATCAGACACGGAGCCAAACTCCCTCTCAGTGTTATGACCTGCAGCGTGAAGAGCTGAACTCGCCCTGTCCCTCTGTCTCATCTCATTCTCACCGCTGAAAAGCGGCACTCATGAGAAGTGGTTGAAGGCAGCGGTTGCAGCGATTCTCCAGGAGAAAACCCTGTAACTTCAGAGACGATTGAGATGTCTGAGAGGTCTCCTTTGTGCAGAACTTTTCCCATCTGACTTGAGTTTAACTTTCTCTTGTGTAATGAGTACCTCATGGTCTGAGACATGTGAAAAAAAAATCCTTGCTGTGCTTCTTTTGATATGATAAGAGGGTGGCTAAGGGTTGACCTCAGCTTGCACTGGGGCATTAAGGCATAGAAAGCAATCAAGCCCACTATACTTGACTGAGGTGGCCTGTTCAAGATTAACTGGCAAAGCAAGTTGATGACTGTATAAAATAAGGAAATAATGAAAAAGCCAGCCAACTGTTTAGTGGAAAGTACACAGTGTTACCTTTTTATATTGCCTTTTTTATTGTTGGTCTTGAGAGAAAAAGAGTATTGAGGTAGTTTTTAAGCTCCTTTAGCCTGCCACAAGTCAACATTGATGTCTGTGGTACAGAAGCAATCTTCTTATAACCTTTTTTTTTTGGTCTGCACATTCATCCGTCCTTCACATTGTATAGATAGTGCTGAAATGGTCAACCTTTTGCACAATACAGTGAATCTTTTGTGTTCTCCTCGAGTCCTGGAAGCAGGTAAAATGGCTGTTTTATTGCAGTGTGAAATATTAAGAGAGTAGTTAAATAAAATAATATTCTAATGTCTGTTCATACCTGACTAAAATGTAGTTATTTTCACTGCAGAGTAGTATGGAGTTCTTCATTGCTCTTTTTCATTGTCTGTCCCCACCTAAAGTCTAACTCACCAACTAAAGGTCCAGGAGGGTGACATATGATATTTAACAGTGATCAGACTAACGCTATCAGAAATGGATCAAATGTTATCTGACTGTGTTTTTACTGCGTTTTATCAGAATGCCGTTTCTATGTACTGTCGCCTTGGCTTCGCTGTAAAGAAAGGTCATGTGTTCAACTCAGACCAGCTCCATCCCACCTGGAAGAACGCCCCGTCTGTCAACAGACTCAAGTATGTGCTGGCTTTGCATCCTGGAATGGCTGTGGTGCCTTGTGTTGAACCATGTTTGTCCCATTAACTTGCATCATTTTACATTTTTAGACAAAATCTCTAAATGTTGAAATATTCAAATGATCTCATCTTCAGATCTTAATAAACCACCACACTTGGTTTGATTGTGATGGTGGTCCTCTTTCATTCAATCACTGTGACTTCGCCCTTTGTGTTAGGAGCACCATGGATCCTCAGAAGATGCTGCTGTCCTGGGAGCAGGGCAGTCCTGTCATGGAGGGAGGCTCCTCAGCCACTGACACCGACACTACTAGTCTGGAAGACCAAGGTCTGACTGGTCACACACATATACACAAACTGCTGTGTATGCAGATACATACACATCCTGATGTATGCACACAAAGCACTTTGTGAACATGACTTCAGAAGTTTTGAAGCAGCGGTGCTAATTAATCCCTAAGAAAGCTCAGTCGTGCTTCTGAAAGTTATTCTCACATTAATAAGTGTTTGTCTGAAATGGTCTCATTTTTGGTCTAATTTTAACTTTGTTATGCATTGTTGCTCAGTCTAACAAATTGCATATTAACAAAGTGGTTGTTCATCAGCCACATTTACATGTTAATCAATGAAAATAAAGAAATTAGAGAAAGAGACGTGGTTTGGGTTGGTCCTTGTAAACACATGTCATTTTGAGAAAATCTCAAGCTCATATCCTCAATTAAAGAATTATGCAGTTGTGCTATTACATTAATTAATGTGTCTGTAATGTTTCTGTAGCAGACACAGCCAGCGTAAGCAGCCTGAGCATCCCAGCCGCACCCACAAAGAGGATTGCCTTCCTCTTTGACTCCACCCTTACAGCCTTCCTCATGATGGGCAACCTGTCTCCGGTTAGTGACTGCACGTGAACACACAGACAGAAGTCTTTTCATCACAATAAAAATGGACATTGACTCGATTCCTCTGTTTTCGTTCTTCTGTCAGAACCTGAAGAGTCATGCAGTGACCATGTTTGAGGTGGGTAAGCTGTCCGATGAGACTCTCGACAGCTTCCTGGCTGAGTTGGAGAAGGTGAGACTTTACTGGTGTGTTTAGTAAAGCATCTCTCATGAAACACTAGAGGTTACTAAATCGATGTAGCAAAACATTTATAGCTCGATGTGTACATGTTCACAACACTCTAACTTATTTCCTGGTTTCTGTCTCCAGGTGGAGAGCACAGCAGAGGGCGAGGCCCAGCGTTACTTTGACCACGCTTTGACCCTGAAAAATACCATCCTTTTCCTGCGCTACAACAAAGAACTCACTCAGGACCAGGGACCTGATATCCCAAATATAGGTAATTGTACAGTTATACCCTATTTGTTATCCGCTTTATGGGTAACTGCATGCAATATCCAGACATTATACACCTGTATATGTTTATAAATTTGGTAAATGGACAGCTTACAGCTTGTTTTTGTGTATTCTTACACAGCTGGCATGCTGACTTTGGTTTTAAGTTTGTTCCTAGCCTCAACTGAAAGCTAGTAGAATAGAAACTCATGTTTTTGATGATGATATGTTATTTTCTGCACATAGTTCCCTCTGTGCTTCATCTGTGTTGTTTTGTAGTTTGGTTTCTGCCAACAGTTGACATTATCTGTGATAAAGATGCAGTAGACATTTTGTAATCACTTTCAAAACTGCACATAGTCCATCAGACAGAAAGTGAGAGCTGGGAGGTGGTGGTGCAGAGTGGATGTGGTTGAAGTTGAGTATGTGTGTCAATGTGTGTATGATTCAAAGCACAACACAAATGGCTCATTATTTCCAGTGAAAAACAGAAATGTATCTATTGATGTAAGTAATAAATATTTATGTGAAATAAAAAGAGGTAAAAAAAAGAGTAATGCAAAAATCTGGGTAAAGATGAGTGTTAACTGAGGCTAATGTTCAGCAAATCAGCAGCTCTTTTACAGTTACTTTTCATCTTCACTCTATTATTGAGAAGAAATTACCACAGTTGGGGCAAATAACTACTTGTAACTGACTCCCATGCAACTACTTAAACTTAGAAAATAAATAACTAATGCAGCATTTAAAAGTTATTTTCATGTTAATGTTCTGGAAAACTATTATTACTAAACTAATTATGCTGCTTTTGGCAAATGTTTGCGTAACTCTCGGCTGTCTGTTTCACCCCTCACCTCTGTTTGAGTAGTTCTTCTTGAATGTGGTCACATATTTCTGGATTCACAGGCATACAATGAGAGTGAAGCTGTATTGTTCTACTTGTGACTCTAGGGGGAGCAACAGAGTGAGTCCTCCAAAGACAGCACTTGCCATGTAGCTACTGTTGTGCCACCAGATGCTGTTTGTTTGCTTTGGCTGCGTGCCTCACTTCTGATTGTCTTATCTCTCAGTCCTCTTCAGCTGCTGCTCCAGGCGTCTGCTGAGGAGCGAGCACTGAAAGCCTGCTGTTGGAAGCTAAACTAAGCCCTCAATGATACAAGAGTCTAGCAATGATCCTGATGATTGTTCATTTAGGAAGTGGGGAAAATTTCTCCTGCCAACAAATACCTCAACAGACTAGACTCATCTTTGCTGCAACTCTTGCTGCTCGACATAGCAATAGAAAGCTGAATTCTGATTGACAGCATAGAGGCTAGGGACATGAGACAGCATCAGGCTCTTAGAGAGTGAATGGCAGACAAAAACCAACATCCAATCCTCCTTTAGACAATAAAGTGTGAAACATCATTCCTGTTGCTTATTGTAACTGACTTTTGTAAGGCATTATTTATGTTCAGTTCTTTAAGTTACATTTGCCTCTGCCAAACTCGACTCTCATACTGATTTATCTGTTAATTATCTCAGGAGTTCATAGACACCTCTTGTCTCTTAGATTTATATTTAGGTAACTATTAAATCCAACAATGTCAAAGTGATGCTTGTGTCCTTCTGAGAGTCACCTCGAAAAGAGAGCACACTTCTTAACACCACGGCCAGAAAGAAAGAAAGAAAGAAAGAAAGGAAATCTTTACTGTGCATTCCAATGTGAGCCACTGCCCTTCAACCTACTTTACTGTCTGATTAATCCACACTTGGCAGATGAACTTCCAGGAGCTTTATTTGTCCTTATTCGTCTGCTTCTTTTCATTTAAAGGAATAGTTTGTTATTTTTGCTTATTTGCTTTATTGCTTAGAGTTAGATAAGAAGATTAATACCACTCTCATATTTGTGTATTTAAATTTAAAGTAAGCCTGCAGCCAGCAGCTGATTAATTTAGCTTAGCATAAAGACTTGAAACGGGGGAAACAGCTAGCCAAAATGTTGTACTGTTGCTTCAACACACCTATTTTATTCATGCAGAAACAAGAATGCAAACTGCATGCATACACCTAATCACTCGGACTTGGCTTCCACCTTATTCTGTACAGAATTTGTGACTCTTCCTTATTTACTTATTTTCCCAACTAGGTTTCCCCTTGGACATGCTGCGCTGTGAGAGCCTGCTGGGTCTGGACCAGGCCACCTGCAGCCGTGTCCTCAACAAGAACTACAAGCTGCTGGTCTCAATGGCGCCGCTAAGCAACGAGATCAGACCCATCAGCAGCTGCACGCCTCAGGTATGACACCTGGAGGGAGGGAGAGCTGAGGGGATACTATGTGGCATGCAGGGTTGTTGGATCAAATGTTGGTTAGCGTTTGTGTTTTTTTTGACAGTCTGTGTGTGTATGTGTGCTCTGTTTGGTTGTATTTGCCCTCTTGCTGTGTGTACACACTTGTGTGCCTGCGGTGATTTGTGACTGTGTGAGCATGCTTTGTGGGCGCTCAGCCTGCAGTTGCCCCCAACAACAAAACTACACAAAGAGAGCGAGGGAGAGGAAGGGAGGCGAGGCTCATGAGTAATTCCTCTGCCTGGCCACAGTCCAGCTTTCTAGCTGAGCTCGGAGAGAAAGAGGGAAAGAAGTTAAACTCTTGTTGTGCCATTCACGCTGCTGTTTATTCTCACACTGCTGGGACTCGGCGAAGTGGAAGTCACTGAATTCTTTTCTTTGTTTTATGCTCACATCTCTAATAGCAGCTTCAATTTCTGCTTCTCTGACAAAAGAACAACACAGACACAATTATTCTCCTTTGTCTCTGTTACTTTTTTGTTCATTTGAAATGTTTATGTAAGAAATAAAATGGGGAAACGATGTCTGAGGATGTTGTTCTCTCCTGTACACTTATGTATGTCTCCATGTTTGTTTCTCCCTGCAGCACATTGGCCCAGCCATCCCCGAGGTGAGCTCCATCTGGTTCAAGCTGTACCTGTACCATGTGACCGGCCAAGGCCCGCCGTCTCTGCTGCTCTCCAAAGGCTCCAGGCTCCGCAAACTGCCGGACATATTCCAGGTTAGCCAAAACTAATAATTAATCAAGTGTAGGTACACGGTTGAGTAAGTAAATGTATGCCGGTACGGATACGGTACAAGCAAAAGAAACATTGTTGAAGTCAGATAAGAAAAGCCCCCATGTTTGACAAGACAAACAATAGTTTGAGCCAAATCAAAGATGAGATTGGACGCTTTCTTCTTCCTCTTTGACACCTACCCTTTTTTAAATTTGACCTTGCCGTTTCAGTTGGAGGAATAAGTAATGAGAGCACTGGAGGTAAAATTCAAGGGCGTCCCCCTTCGTCAACCTTCATTTCGGAACAAAGCATCTGGTGCATCGCAGTCACAGTTGTACCATGCCGTGCACCTGAATTTTCCTCCTCCAAGGCTTCCTAGTGGTCTTGGAATTTTTTAACTATCCTGGGAATGAGACAGGGGGACAAAGGAGAATTTGATGCTGTAAATTCTCATGGGAGGACAGCTAATATCATGCAAATGGGTCACTTACATAGCAGCATGTATTTTTCTACTTGTTGTCTATGCCTGAGTTTATTCACCATGAACTGTAGTAACACACAGTTTACTCCTTCACTGCATTTAGAGCTGAAAATAATAAACAACACGGAAAAGAATAACACCTTAATTTCATGGAGAAACTCTGACTCAGGGAAAAACATGCACAAATCATGGCATGTAAATTCAGCAGCAGGATTGGAGGTTTAATTATTTGAATCAGTTAACATTTGGTGTAGCAGAACGTCGACAAGTTGACATGTCAGTAAGAACGGAAGAGTGATGTTTACTTTCCTTCAGCTTACTTCCTAGATGAAACCACTGGTACTTTAAATAGCACTTGTGAGATTATGCATTGCATGTAGAAACGTAGAAATGTCATTACTGTTGTAGAGGATAGAGATACTTAAACATGTCTTTTTACTTGTGCGAGCTTATCCTTTCTTTTGCTCTTATTCTCTGTTATTCCCGCTACCTTCAGTCAAGACTCTCTATTATGTAAAATGCATTCTTATTATTATTCATCATTACTCAGTATGGTGAGTAATGAGCTGTTAGAGGAAAATGTCCTCCCATGATGCTTCACACCATCATACCACAGTCCTGATGATTTCACTGATTAGCTGTGGAAGGATCCTTTGTTGACCTGTTTGTCCTTCCTCTGTCCAGGTCTACGACAGGTTGTTGATCACCTCCTGGGGTCACGACCCTGGAGTCGTCCCTACGTCTAACGTGCTGACCATGCTCAACGACGCCCTCACACACTCTGCTGTACTAATCCAGGTGAACACACACACGCACACAAGCCCCAATTTTACAATGAGGTTGTTTCAGAACACTGCATCCACTAGTGTTATGTATCTACTCTTTGTGTGTTGTCACTGATAACAGATTTGGTACCATGTCTCACAGTGTGGATATATAAACTGCTGTGTGTGTGTGTGTGTGTGTGTGTGTGTGTGTGTGTGTGTGTGTGTGTGTGTGTGTGTGTGTGTGTGTGTGTGTGTGTGTGTGTGTGTGTGTGTGTGTGTGTGTGTGTGTGTGTGTGTGTGTGCCTTCAGGGTCATGGTATGCATGGCCATGGAGAAACAGTTCACATCCCGTTCCCCTTTGATGAGGAAGATCTGAAAGCAGGTGAGTTATTATTATATTATATATATTGACATTATACAGCCTATTTGTTATGTTGACACAGCTGTCAATGTAAGGAAGAATAATTCAGCCTTCATGCTGCTTTTATTTTATTTGCAACGTCTTTTGAGAAACATTATGTTACTGAACGGGATTAAATTATTAACTGATAATATTATAATCATACACTAATAATATCAATATCAGTATATTGTCACTGCTATATTGCGTTTGAATGATTAACATGACCTCAGTCAAGCTGCTGTCGATTCAGTTTTTGGCTTTGAGGGTTTTAAGTCGTCAAACGTCAGAAGGATTTGAATCCTCTGAAATCCACTTAAGACTAACACTGAAGTCTCATCCCCTTAAATACATTTGCTTTCAGAATATTCTGTCCTCTGGAGAAACATGTTTTAATGAATGCCACGATATGCAGATATTAATAGAGGTGTGTATGTGCTGTACTTGAAGCATCACTCCCGTCGTTTGTGTTGTCGCTGTCCTCCTTGTGCAGAGTTCTCCTACTCCAACATGTGTACGCACAAGGCGCTGCAGAAGCTGAAGGAGCAAGTGGACCTGGAGCACCAGTGTGGCTACATCACCATGCTCAACTCCAACAACAGGCACCGTCGCAGGGCCAGCGACAGTACTGAGTGCAGAGGTAGGGCCGCTAATGCAAATGTGTGTGCGTGAGCATTTGAGAGACCCGGCATATAGTTGAATTAGTAACAATGTCCTTGCATCTGATGGCCATTGGCACTGATGGTGCAAATTAGATAAAGATTGCTCACAGTCCAGTTTAATTATACTGTTTGTCTGCATAATTGGGTCCCTTATCGTGATAGCCTTTGCTAATGGACGTGGATCGAACAGCATTAGCCTTTACTTTGAGATTTACTGATTGAATCTTGCTGATGTAAGTGATCACAGATTTTGTTTGACATAGATATTCATGTACATAACAGTGTCCAGTTCATGGCAAGTCATAGTTATTCAGCAAAAAGGAAGTTATTTCAGAAGTTTAATGAAACTTCTTAACTGAGGGGCATTCAAGCTGTAATCTAGCTGTGATCAGTTTCCCAGAAACAAGCTTAATGCTGATGGAGATTTGGTACTTTTCTTCAAGGTGACACTCATCTAGGTGGAGGCCTGGAGACCAACGGCAGCACTGAGTCCTTTGAGCTTGTGACAGACGAAAACAACGGGGAAGGCAAAGCAAAGACAGAAAGTAGGTCTACTTTTTATCTTGAAGTAACTTTGAGAAAGTTGGAAAAGACGACAAAGATGGTAAATTGTGACAAAGGTTCCCGTGTTAATGCTATGTGTCTCATGTTGTAATGCATGTTTCTTTCAGGCCTTTCATCTGAAGATGAATGGGTCCCTCTTGAACTGTGCTTCGGCATGCCCCTCTTCAGCTCCGAGCTCAACCGCAAAGTGTGTCGAAAAATCGCCTCGCACAAACTGTGCAGCAACGAAAGGTAAAAAAAACAAAAAAATACCCAGCATCCTCAAAAATGTCATTTTTGTTTAAAACATTGAGAAAAGATGTGTGTGGCGGCTCTCAACTTTAGCTTTATTGTTTCGTTTTTTTCAGCCTTCAAGAGCTACTTCACTCAAGCCGAAAGCTGTCGCTGAAGGTGTTGAGCTTCGTTCAGTCATTCCAGGTAAAAACACTTCTGTTTCTTCATGTCGCCACCTGTGAATACTCACAGAAAATAAAATAAATAACAGTGTCGAGTGAAAATATCAGCCATCAGGACGTTAATCTTACAGATTGAGTCAAGAACGAGACTAATGATGATTAATTATTTATAAATATATTTAATAGAGTGAATCTAATTTTGATACAACAGTACAGTACTGTGTCGTGTAGCTTTTACAGAATTTGGGGTTTTTAGTCACAGTGTGAGGTACACAGTGGGTTATCTTAAGATATTCAAGCCATGAATTTGAGTAAGGACTGTTTCACATGAAAAAACAATATAATTAAATCTTTCATTTGGAAAAACAGGCTAAAAGACCACATATGAACAGCACTAAATTGTGTTTTGGATCTTGAGATAATGAGATAATTAAGTCATGATTTTGATATAATAGGTTTTAAACAATTATCAGGAACCGTGACTACTCCTGTCAGCAATTTCATTAAAACCTTTTGTTTTGGTTTGGTTAAATAATAAAGTATTCTTTCACCAATCAGTTTGTATTTATTTAGAAGGCATCTTAATAAATGAGTCATACCCATAAAGATGTTGTTCTCATGAAGTGACCCACCGCCAGTTTAAGAATAGACTTCTAACTGAAGGCAAATATAGTGGCCAAAGTGTTTTATTTTATTGAAAGATGCAAGACAAAGCATTAACATACCAAATGTGAAGTTCTATGTATTGTACTTGTCGAAACCAAAGAAAGAAACAAACAAAAACAAAATTATCATAGTTGAAATTGAGTGCAGTAACATGAGTTGTGTGAGAAATGGGTTGAGATAAAAATGAGGTATTGTTTTGATTTAGAAATGTTTCGGTGTGTGAGGGTGAAGGGGAGGAAAAAAAAGAAAACAAGATTTGAGAGAAAAACAATCTAATAGAAATTGGAAGAGCATGGTGAACATGTAGTTCTAGTTCAAAATGTGAACATCTTGTCTCTCCTGTGTGCTGTCTGCCCATGCCACAGACCTCACTGATGTAACTGAGCCTCTTGACCCTGTCTGCATATTTTATACACAAATTCTCAGGCATGATTTAGACTTTGAAAGTTTTCTAAAATGATCATTCTGCCTAGCCTTTACTCACTTTTGTATCCTTGTCCCACATATCTCATCCGCTCTTCCTGGTGTTCTGATCTGTGACATTTGCCCCTGTGTTGGCAGGACGGCGTCCAGCCCTCTGACCTAGACAGCGGCGTGTCAAACCCTCTCAGTCAGCCCCCGGCGGAGTCCGGTGTCCCCCTGCCCGCCCTCAACCTCCTCTTCAAGGACGGGCAGCTGAAGGAGTGGAGCGGGCGGGCCCCTCCTCCTCTGGACATCTCAGCGCTGCAGAAGGACCAACCCACATAAGCCCCTCAAAACTTCCAGATTTGAGGAAATTCTTATCCGAGGTTCAAACCCTGCATCGTCACCACAAGGAAACACTGTCATTAAATAAGCCTCGCCCTCTTGTCCATCAGCATCCACTCATGGGAAAAATTAGCCCCGCCAGCACTTTGTCATTTACCTACTGTATGAGGAATCATCCTTCTGACAGTGTTGCCAACACTAGTTCAAACCCCCCCCCCGCTGTTCCCCTCTGTGATTCCTCGTATTCGTAGCAAGGCAGTGTTATCTGTTGGAGTGGTGCTATTATCACATTATATAACAGTGGTGCAGGTAAACGGCATTTAACCTGGAACACCATTTAACTGGAAACACAAGCGCTGTTCTCCACTGACTAGCCCCCCGCCCAGCCCTTCAAATCAATGGATGTTGTGTGATCCTTGAGAGCGGAGTGTAAAGTGGTTGATATTGTTTAGATGTTCTAAAAAAAACGACCCACAAAATAAAGTGTTGAACAGACTTCTTCAGGAATCATTTGACAATATGCATAATCTAGGACCAAGTCTTTGGACTGGAGTCCAGACCCCGCTGCCTCCCTCTGTTGTCTCATGTTAAGTGATCTGATGCATGATACCGTTGCACAACTCGTACCATTAAAAAAAAAAAAAACTTTCCTCTTTACTTGTAATCAATATTGGGGACATTTATTATTTGCACTGTGCAGGATTTCTTCAAACCTGTGGATGAAGTAATGTCATGTAATTTTTATGTTAGATCTGTTGTAGTGCGCATATGATTTTAGAGCTCACGTTTACCATGAGAAAGTGTTTCCTCCTGGAAGGGTTAGGAATTGACTGGGCATCATCCTTCGTTATCATTCTTTCTCAGTACAAGCGTACACCAAAGACCATTTTCTTTTCCTGTATAAAGATTATTTTTTTTTAAATCTTTAATCTGTTGTACTGTCTTTCCTTTTATTTTGCTGCCTTATCACTGTCAGCCAATCAAACGCTACCAGGTCGTTGATCAAATCTCTGGATTTGATTTGCTTATGTTTAGTTTTTTTTCGGTTTGTTTACCTTTTTGTTTAGATTTTACAAATGATGATTTCAGATGATTCATGTGCATTTCTGTATATAACCAATAAAAGCAACAACATTGGGTCACAATACCAACCCTTACCCCTGTTCAAGAATTTGATAAGATTAACCAAGTGTACCTAATTGCATAGAACGAGAACAGTCAGGTCTGTGTGTTTGACCCAGGCCTGTCGCCACTGTTGCCTGCCAGTATCTCTCCTTGGACTGACTCCAGTTTGTGTGCAGTGCAGTGCACTCTTGGCCAGCCACCATATTCTCCATGGGATTCTGTTTACACCATGTTCTAAAAAATGGGGTTTGTAGTGTAGAGAGGAGACGGCTGCCTCAGACCCTGGGGATGGAAATGCTAATGCTTTGCCCAGCGTCTCAGAGATGTGATGGCCCAAAAAGTGTGTGAAGTCTGTCATGAATTTTCAGCGTGGCTCCAAGAATACTCGCTATTGCACTTAGAATGATAACCCATTTTGTTGAGTTTTTCTTTTCTTTTTTTTTTTTGAAGGAATCTGCCTTCTGCAGTTTTTGACCCACTTGTGGTTGTTGTTTCTAATAACGTGATGCTGAAATAGACAAAAAAAAAAAAAAAAACTAACATGAGGTCCCGTTGAAGCATGATGACTGTGTAGAACTGTTGTGTGTATGTTGTGTATGCGTGCGTATTGTACACCTCACTCTTGGTGTGTTTTCATACACACCCTTTCACAATAAGAACCCCCCCCCCTTCTCCAATCCTGCCTGCCTATTATCTAGTTGCAGTACTCGGCCATCCTAGATATACCCCATCCTCTTCCAGAGATACATCCACCACAGTGTTTAAAAAAAAAATGCTAGTTTTATATGTCAGCCTATATTTTAGGAAATCTTTGTTGTAGCTTGTTTAATGGGACTGTGAATATCATTGACTGAGTTAATAATGATGCTCTTGTAATTAAATGGGTTAAAAAAAAGAAGAAAGTGACATTCCTTCAACATGCTCTTCCTCCATCGTTGCTCCATCTCCCCTCTGCTCCAGATACATATTATTATTACAAATAAATATGTAAAAAGTATATAAAAATATAAATAAATATGTAATAACTTTTTCCTCCCTGAAAATGTCTCCTGGTGTTGTTTTTCCTGATCTATACTTTGTGGTTTGGTGTCATCGATTCCAACCCCTACTGGCTCTGAATTGTAGCCAATCACATTACATGATATTAAGCCGTCCTCGGTGGATGTTTTCCTAGCCAGGTGGAACAGATGGTGCGCAAGACGCAGCGGTCCGGATGCTGTGTCCATCTGCCTCAAGTACACACTTGTTCACCTATCCTTGTAGATTTAAATGGACGCTGAGCTGAGAAACAATGCCTGATACGTCCATGTGAAGCCTTTTCAAAAGCTATGAAAAACCCACATTTTTGGGAGGAAGATTAAGGTGTCAGTCTGTGGCTGGCTGTGCCCCCAGTGGACAGGTGGAGCCCCCACCTAATTGACTATGTCTCCCAGGCCTCCCTGCTCCAGTAATTTCCCAGCACCACAAATTACAGTGTGTCACCAGGGGGGCACCAGGGGCGTAAACTGGGTCATGCCATCCGGGGATAAGAAGCTCCAAGAAGCGGTCAAATGGGCTGCATGTCACCACTAACTGTTTCATTTCTCTCCTAACACTGCCAGCCCTGCACGGATGCTCGAGGAAGGTGAGATACATCTGCTGAATTCATTCTGCAGATTTGTTATTTTTGACTTCCATCATGTGCGTTGTCAAACTGGGACTGCTGCAAGGCTCCAGGCTGAAATGGGAGAAAAGCCGGGAATAGAATAAAGACAAAGAAAAGTTGTGCGCATTTAGACAGTACATTTAAAAACTTGAGCCAAAGCTGATGAAAGGGCAGTGAAGGTGATGGCGAAATGGTACCGGCCTCTTAAACATTGCATTGTGGTGCTTTATCATTATATCTAATTTCAAAGGAAGTACAACATCTTTGATAATGTTCCCTTGAATAGTGTTGCATCATCATCTATGCTGTCACTATTGTATTGAACTTATCTAAACTCCAAGCATACTCATAAATAGCTTATCTGTAAGAAGACCACACAGCCGTGCTAACAGCTCGCTGAGGTTTAACAGTATGTTTAACATGGTAACAATCTTAGTTTAGTATACTAGTGTTAAACCTTTGTTCAGAAGATGGTGCTAATTAAAAAGTCAGGGGATCATCAAAGTCACCAAACTTCATAGCAATTCACCCATTAGAAATTTTACTCTGAGTCACAAATGTCAAACTCATATTGGTGCTAGTGGAAAAGTCATTATCATCTGAGAAAAACAAATGTCCGTACAAACTCCATAAATGAGATAAGTTGCAAAATTTCCACGGATGAGTTAAAGTTTTGACATTCTGGTGTTGCTACAGGAAATATCAGAGGATAAAAAACGTCTTTAGGATTCATCCTTTGGGGACCATGAATGTCTGTTCAAAGTTTCACAGTTTTCCATCCTGTAGTTGTGGACCAACAGACAGACCTCAGAGTCACGCTGCTAGTGTGCTAATATCATCTAATGTTGGTTCCACCTGGGCCTGGAAACCTGCATGAAGAATGTGATTTGAACCCTGTGACCCAGGTTGAACCTTACTGAACAGGGAAAACATTCAATCTGGATTATACAAGGTTGGAAATCACACACTGTGATCCTGTGCAGCTTTAAGAAAGCTTAGTCTCTTAAGGAGTGCTGCCCAAAGGCCTCCATGCTAATCTGCTGAGTCCACTGTGGCCAATGAGGCCATTCTGCCCGTTTAAAGATGACTGGATATGAAAGAGTGTATTTCTTTCTGTGGAGACACGTCCTCTATCATATCTACTGTACTGGATGACTTTGCAGTCAGTTTGTAATCCGTCCCTCCAGTGGGTACCAAGCCCAGCACTGGGGTCAAACTCAGGTTAATCTGCTGTGTGAAAGTTTGCATCTGTCTGTCTGTCTCTCTTCTTTACAGAGATGCACATTTGTTTCTCTTTACAGCCCGTCAAACATCCTCACACCCCTTAGCATCCCTCCCCGTCTCCCACTCGCAGCTATAACATTTCCAGGGCAGGTGTTTTCACACAGAGGCTGCTGCAGTGTGTGCCATTTTTGGGGCATACTGAGCACATTCCCCTTGCCTGTGGGATACAGTGTTGAGAAAATAGCCCATAACTGAGAGCAAGTCTAGCAGGCCACAAGCCACTACAAACGTAATGGAGACATTATGGTCCCACCAGGAGATGGAGAGGGAGCAAATGACTGCGCAGCTTCAGTTCATTCAAGGACAGACAGGTGGTCCAAACTGTAAAATACCCGCAGATGTTGAACCCCTCACAGTCCTCCTTACTGTACAGATTTGTAATTTGTAATAGGGCCACAGTCGGCCACTAAACCCAGGATGAAGGTTTTGCCTACTCTGCATTTTTGCTGTACAGTGTGTTTTTGATCACAGAGTGCAAAAAATAATGAAGAACAACTAACAAAATGAACAAATAGAACAAAATAAGATAAAAATGACTAAAAATCAGTGAATGAGTGAAATATAAAATAAGATTGAAAAATAATATTAAGATAAATAAACAAATAAATGGCTGTACAATAAAGATAACCAACTAAAATAAAATAAAAATAACTACAAGGTGAAGCAAATATAATACATAAACATTTAATACAACGTTTTTCAAAGTTTGTGTCACAATTGAACCTAAAATATAAAAAGCTCCACGGTTAAACCTTTATTTCAAACACCGTGGAAGTTGTCTGTAAACGTGGAGCGGACATCAAAAGGTGCCGTGATGAGAAATTACGCGCACTTCCGCTTTAAAAGCAGAGCTGTGGGTAGATGGAGAGAGCCGCTGAGGCGATGCCGAGCCACAGATCAGTTCACCGCGGGCCGGATCTCTGCTGCACATTGCGCAGTGTATGCGCCGTCAGCACAGTGGACTAGTTTGTCTGCGGTGAAGACAAACACACTGAGCGGGTCCTGCGTGACGAGGATTTGGATTTTTAACTCTCGTTGTTTCCTGTGTGACCGCCGCCGGACGGAACTTTTACGCAGGGGGGAAACAGCAGGTGAGTCTATACGAGGCTACACCTGAGGGATCGTTCTGATCGCTGAATTTGAAACCAGTTTGTATTCTCCTCCCAACTCCACTTGTTGATGGGGCACAGACAGGCTGTATCCCGGCAGTCACATCGCGGAGATATTCTTATGCGTAATTTGGATAAAAAACTAAACAAACCCTGTCCGACGGCAGGGAGGCGGAAGTTTTAACCTGTGAGGTTTTGTAACAGATGGTGGTGATGTTTGGCGACCGGTAACAGCTCCTCGGCATCAGATCGTATTACACAAGCTGCCGCCAGGTGAGCAGCGGCATGGGGAACCAGATGGACAAGCTGTCACATTTAAGTTACGCAGAAGTTCCCACGGTGGACCCTAACGGCGTGGACACGGAAGAAGGTCCGCGGATCGGCGTCTCTTACATATTTTCTAACGACGATGACGAGCTGGAGGACGGCTGTGCGGTCGATGGCACCGCCAGGGACCCGAATCAGGAAGAGAAACAGTACGACCAGCGCGACGAGGTGGAGTGCGCCGTGTACTACAGAGATGAATGCATTTACGAGAAGAGCGCCAAGTCCGCCAGCCTGGAGGTCTACTCCCCGGAGAATCTGCTCAACAAATGTAAAGCGGGGGACTTGGTGGAGTTTGTGGCCACCGGGCAGTACCCGCACTGGGCTGTGTACGTGGGGGACTTCCAGGTGGTGCACCTGCACAGAGCCGAGGTGAAAAACAGCTTCTTGACTGACGCGAGTCAAGGGAGGAGGTGTCGGATCGTGAACGACTTTTACAAATTCAAAGCTCTGAGTCCGGACATGGTGGTGCAGAACGCCATGGAGCAAGTGGGCTTGAAGGACCGAGAGCTGAGCTGGAGGAACTCCGAGTGCTTCGCAGCCTGGTGCATGTTCGGCAAGAGGGAGTTCAAAATGGGTGGGGAGATACGGATAGGCAAGCAGCCGTACAGGTTGAAAATACTCATGTCCGACAAACACTCGCACGTGTTGGAGTTTCAGAGTTTGGAGGACATGATCATGGAGAAGAGGAGGAACGATCACTTGGGCAGGACAGCCGTGTTGCAGGAGCTGGCCACTCATTTTAGCAGCGTGGAGGAGATAAAAAGTGAGCCCGGTGCTGACTGATGTCTACCCCCCCCCCCGACCACCACCTCCTCTTTGATGCGCTTTAGATTAATTGCTTTGCGAGTAGAGAAGCCTTGACCAAACATAAACTGTTACACCCTGCTTTCATCTATAGCAAGCCTTCATTTTAGTTTCCACTGGCACACACATGCCATCCCTTTCTCTTTTTTAAATTAAGGTCCCATGTTTTTCCACTTGAGTCTATAACAATGTTATTGCCTTAAATCCACAATCCTCAACCTACTCTGATGCTTAATGGCCTTAGCAATTATGAATTCAATTATCTGAGAGAAAATGAATTGATTGAATTAGCTGATAGGCTTTGTTTTGTAGCTCCAACGGCCCCTCCACACAGAATGTCTAGATTTTTATAAGAGCTTTACCCATCTGTCTTAAACTGTCACGATTCTGTAAGTAGAGTGTTTCGCCTATTCACAGTGTGTCCTGTTACTTGATCCTTGTGTGGTTTTAACTTTATCCCTCAGCTCACCCAGACAGCAAAGTGTCTGAGCTGCTCTCTGAATACAAGAAGGATTCTTTCTGCCTTTAAGGGTAATTCTCACACCAGCACATCTGAAGAAAATGTTGTGGAGCTGGTCTGTGTTACACTGATCAAAGTCTGTCTTAACTGTACCCAAAGGTCGAGTAAACCATCCTTGTCTCTTTTCGAAATGAGTCATCTGTCGTTCTGTTTTACTTACACGCAACAAGAATGAGATTTAGCTCCTGGAACACATAATTCTCTGTTTAGTCAATTAACACTGACTGTTTTGTGTGTCATCTTCAAGTGTTTAACAAATTAGTGTAATTTTCTGTGTTTATTATTTGACCTGCTGCAGAAGACATTTTTTCTTAATTGTAGTCCAAACAGAGAAAATTTGATTTTATTTATTTTTTTCTCTATAGACAACTTTTTGAACATTAGAGCTCAGTTTGTTAATTTTTTTCATTTGCCTGTAATTCCTATGAGGTGTTTTTTTACAACCACAGTCACCACAGCTAATGGTAAAACAAATATATATATATATATATATATATATATATATATATATATATATATATATATATATATATATATATATATATATGTATATGTATATTAGCTGATATGCAGGAAAGTCCCTGTGACTTCGAAGTAAGTGGTAGGTAGTTTTTTACTTTATTTGTATGACTATAACAGAACCACTTTCTCCAACCTGTAACCTACCACAAAACTGGAGTGCGCAAACCAAGGTTTATGGGAGAGCTAACTTAACTTAATCGTTAAAAAATAGACAATCAGTTGATTAGTCGATAGACAGAAACATAACACTGTGGATAAAATTAGCATTAAATTAAAAAGGACAAGTGTTGAAGGGAAAATATGATGCAGAATTAACTGTGGATGAAAAGTGTTTTACAGAATGACAGAAATACACCTCCATGATTGTTTATATCAGAAAAAGTATTTTAGACCATCTGCAGCCTTTAGTATTAAACTAGGGCTTGAAACAAATGGCAGGTGGCAAGTTGACCATAACAGCAATAAACTAAGTTTGTTGTTTCATATAAATCCCACTGCATAATTTTTGTAGGATTCCCGACTGTTTTCACTACAGTCCTGGAGAGCACGAGGAAACATTGTTACTCTGAGTGTTTTTACAGCGTCAGTGTGATGAAACAACGTTGCATCAGTGGAAAGAGTGCTCATTGTGTCCTGATGATGGCAGTGATAGGTTTATAGCTGTAAAGGTCTATTATACTATCTGCAGTTTCCACCACAAAGGCTTAAAGCCTTTGCATCAAACTGTTGTTTTTCTTATATTTATTTATTTTAATAATTTATTATTTTGTGAGAGAACTGAAATTTATGGAAGCCCAGAGAGGCAAGTGAGAAAAAAAGATTCTGGTGATCAATTTTCTAAGTCTGAGCTGAACCTTTTTTCTCTCCTGTGTTTATGACTTATAGGTGAGGTCAGTAATTCTGGAGAAAGATATTGATGCTTTGGGTTGTGAAAGCCACCTTTTAAGAAGAGGGGGAGAAAAAAAAAAAGTTTTTTCAAGGACAATCTTTGTACGTTTATTGTGCACTGATGATGGCTAATAGCATTAATGTTTTCTTCCAGGTGAGTTGTAACTGAACATATTGAGCCAAAAGAAACAAAACAGTAATGTTACATAATTTTCTAGGTGGTGTTTACAGTGCATGGACAAATTAAAACTCACCTGGAAGAAAACATGAATGATTTTAGTCCTGCTTAGAATAGTGGGTGGTGGTTCACTTCAGCCTCTTGTGGCCGAAATTAGTATTACAACAACAAACACTTTTATTACAAAAACATCCAGTTTTTTCAACCTGTTTCAGAGATTATAAAATAACTAAGGAACTTAGAAAGATTATCTTGGGCAAAACCCCTATTCACCACATCGTAAATCATAAACACAAAAAAAAATTCAGATCGGATTTTCTTTTCCTCATTTGCCTCTCACGGCTTCTGTAGGTTTTCTACTCTGATTTCCATCTCAGAGCTTGTCCTGTCAGTTGAAGTGAAACGGAGAATCTAAAAAACATAAAAAAAAACATAAAAAAAGCAAATGTTTTCACTTCACCTACAAAAGAATAAAAGTTTATTGTGTCCAGACTTATGTGGTGAGAGTCAGCACCATTGCCACAGGAGGAGAATATCGACCTTCAACAAGTATAGACAGCTAAGGTGGAGTGGACTCACATCCTCCGCAACTCTTTGTCCGCTCCTTTGTGCCTCAGCAATGTTTCAAACTGTGATTGCAGTTTTTAATTCAGAACGACAGAACATAGTTGATTTGTAATTTGATTTCACTTACTTATTAGCAGAATTTGTCTGCATCCAAAGACGTACGCAGTTTCACATAAATACCAAAACACAACATTTGACCAAACAACAAAGCAAAGACTACAACGTATATTACCACAAGCTTAAGAATAAGTGGCTCCATCAATTCAATTACTTTAACACAGACACTGAGGCCTATCTGACAAACTGAGGAACAAGCGTTTTATTTCCATCCACTTCCGCCCACTACCACAAACAGTGCGACTATTCACAACTGCACAGTGAAGATTTTGTGTCTTATCCTGTCCTGCAGGTGAAAAGAATTATTTTACTGTGCCACAACAACTGAATGCCAGACTTGCCTTGATTTGATTTTGTTTTGTAAAGACCCGCTTTAATCTTCTTTTCAATGAGGATACAATAAAACTAGAGCCTAAAACCTGTAGCTGTCTAACCTACAATTTCAAATAAGACTGTTTAACTTGAAATCATCTACGGCAGTCTGTCAAATCTCTGAATATTATTTCATAAGTCAAGTCAGACTTGAATGTTATGCTATATACAGCACATACAGTATGGTACACTAGAACTGCTTTAGTCCTTATGTGCTGCATTTTCCCAGCAGTTGCTTTAATGTTCCTTGTGGCACTGTAATCAAATTAAGTCACGGTAACTCCTCCTTAGGGTCTTGTAAAGTTCAGCCTTTCCTAAGTCTGTGAGACAATTTTATATTGAACCAGGAGTAATTTAACAAGACAGGAGTGCAGCTGTGCAGATGTTACTGTTGTAGGAACATCCTGTACTGTATGTGAGGTGCAGTAGTTGAGCTGTGCTTCCAGGTCTTATTTCTTGAGATGTTTGGCTTAAATTTGAATTTTAAGAGGGGTGAACTTCAGTGTGGGGATGCCAGGTTAGTGCTTGGTCCTCTCTGTGTGGAGTTTGTTTCCTCCGTTTTGTTTTCAAGCTTCTGGATACAATAATGCTGTATTGCTCATCCTTTTGTCTTGTGACCCCTTAAAATGTTCACCCTTGCAGGTTCTGTCCCCAGTGTGGACATAAGCAGTGAGGAATTGTTTCTTTCTCCGGCTGTTCAATTTGAAGGCCAGAAGAGCTAAAAGTATCCACTAGCAAAAGGAAAGGCAGATAAAAAAAGAAAATGTTTTACTTTTTTACTTTCACACCAAGATTACATTACAACTCTATTTAATCAAGGCATTTCTGTATATCATTAAATCCTTAAGGTACATAGAAAGTTTCAATCTATTTCCATTAGAAGATAGAAAGAGACGAGAGTGTCTGTGTCTTAAAGGAAAGAATAAAGTTAGTTGCTGCACTAAATAAAATAAATTTGATTTAAGAACAAAAGAAACAAGTTGAAATGTTCTCACTGCACTGGTAGATTGTTTCACTTGTTTTAAGAAGAGTAAAGTTTATAAGCAGCTATAACTGACATTTTTATAATAACAGTGTATCAAATGACAGTTTTAGCTCATTGTTTAGCTGTCAGGCACACAACTCTACTGTTTTATTTCACTCTCACCGCTCGCTCATCGTCGTTTTTGGCCGCAGGGGGCAGTTTTTGTAAAAAAAAAGCTCTAAAAAACTCAACTAGATATTTCCCTGAGGAGATGGTGGAGACCAAAAACAGAGCTAAAAACACAGTGAATGTGAATATTGGACTTACATTTGTCAGTTGGAGAAAAAGGTGGATGTGTAAATAAGCAACTATTGGCCAACAAGCCAGACTCTAAACTCACCTGACTGACTTTCTGATAGTCAACACTCAAACTAAAAACTTTGTTTTACTGTTGTTGTGGTCTCTAAAACAGTCTTCTGAGATATAAGGTCAGCCGGCAGTATTCAAGTGTAAAATGTCGTCTAAACGTGTTCTCGGACAGACAGGGTTTTCATTGACTTTGTGTGTGTATCTCTTGGTCTTATGCTGTGTTTTTTATTGACTCGGGAAGCACTCGATGATTGATATAGAAAGGTTCTTTAGAAATAAGCTGTCTGATACATGCAAGTCAGGTAGATGGAGGATTAAATTGCTCATGTATGAATGTGTGAGTGACATCCTGGGTGCTTCCCTGCCTCCCGCTGCATGCCGGTATGGGCTGCACCAATTTAATATCACTTAATTTAATTTGTATACAGACCATTCCTCTATACTGGAAGGGTGTGCTATGCTCCTGCAGCTCTTACAGTGAAGCAGCAGTGATCTAGCATTGACTATCTCCCAGGCCGTTCCTCTTGATGGGATGTGAAAGCTCGGACATAGCAGAGGCAACCCAATTATAATCAACTGTCAGCGCTTGCCTACAGGTACCTCGGCCTGCTGCTGCTACTTTGTAGGTTTTGTGTCCGTAGGATGCTGATGAAATGATAAGATTAGTTGCATTATAAGGGAGCGAGAAATTGGTATTCCTGTTCCACTGTGAAATATAAAAAATAATTTTCTGTACATGTGAGGGATATACAGTGGATGAGGATGGAAAGCAGCTTTAACGAGCCTTGTTTTCATAATCATAAGAGTCAAAAACAATTTGCCTCCCATCTGTTTGCTGTCTTCACACGTATTGTACATGCAGATAAGTGGATGCACATTAACAGCCAAAAACAGAAGTTTATAAACCTGTTCGAGAGGCTCCTCTTCAGGTGGCAACTTTCTCGTTCTCACTTCACAGGTGATATTTGGCTTTGTAAAAAAAAGGAAATGCTAACACTAACAAAAGACTTTAGAAAAAGATCATTAGAGACCAAACCATACTTGAGATGTTTTTTTTTTTTCACAAAAAGCCCCAAAAGGCTTTTAATACAATGTCCAAGAGACTGTTTATATTGTCAATGTTTGAGCTCAGGGTTTTCTATTCGGATTTACTT